CCTATTACACATTCTGCACAACATTATCAAGATGCCTACCGGCGAGACATATATTGGCGGAAGACTGCGCCAAGAAGCTGAGAACCCCACAAGAAAGCGCAAGAGATCGGATGTCCGTCTCCCGAGCGGCTTCAAGGAGTCGCCTACCGCGCACTCAACCATCGTGTTCGCTGCAACCAAGCACCACGTCGACTACCTCTATGCTCTTCTCGTTGAGGCAGGGTTTGCCACCTCTTACGCCTACGGTTCCCTGGATCAGACTGCTCGTAACCACCATGTTCAAAACTTCCGATCCGGCATCTCAAATATCCTGGTCGTCACCGATGTTGCCGCCAGAGGTATTGATATCCCTGTTCTTGCCAACGTCATCAACTACGATTTCCCCTCACAGCCCAAGATCTTCATTCACCGTGTCGGTCGTACTGCTCGTGCAGGCCAAAAGGGTTGGAGTTACAGTCTTGTTCGCGACAAGGATGCCCCGTATCTTCTGGATCTGCAGCTGTTCTTGGGACGCAGGCTAGTTCTCGGTCGTCAGTATGGCACTGAACTCAACTTTGCAGAGGATGTTGTTGTGGGAACGCTGCCGAGAGAGCCAGTCTCTCGCACTTGCGAGTGGGTACAAAAGGTGCTCGATGATGACATAGATATCTATGGACAAAAGCAAGTGTCTCAAAAGGGAGAGAAGCTGTATCTACGCACCCGCAATTCGGCCTCTGCCGAGAGTGCGAAGCGGTCGAAGGAGGTTGTTTCTTCCGATCACTGGGCTGAGATTCACCCTCTCTTTAACGATGCAACCAGTGAGAGGGAAGTAGAGCGAGAGAGTATGCTGGCCCGCATTGGTGGTTACCGACCCCACGAAACGATTTTCGAGGCAAACAACCGACGAGGCGGCAAAGAGGCTGACAACGCGGCCGTTGAGACCATTCGCCGACTTCGCACTAGTGTCGAGAACAAGAGAAAGCGCGCGGATCTCAAAGCAGAGGCTGAGTTGGCAGCACTTGGAATGCCCACTCCCGGCGAGGATGGTGAAGTGGAGGACGAGGATATCCCCGAGCATGCCGGCGAGAACATGTCCGAGGCATCCGACGATGAACTCGAAGTCACTTTCTCTGCCTACAACTCCAAGTCCAAGCAAGGCGAGAAGAAAGACGCAGCAGCAGCATTCCAGAACCCGGATTATTTCATGGGCTACACACCTCAACACAACGACATGGCCGAAGACAAGGCTTACGGTGTGCACTCTGGTACAAACTCGAACTTTGCCAGCGACTCCCGCAACGCGACGATGGACCTCAACGGCGACGAAGGCAAGCGCGGCTTCGGCGAAGCGCGTTCCATCATGCGTTGGGACAAGCGACACAAGAAGTACGTTGCCCGCCAGAACGACGAGGACGGCTCCAAAGGCAGCCGACTCGTGCGCGGTGAGAGTGGTGCGAAGATCGCGGCCAGCTTCCGCAGCGGTCGCTTCCAAGCCTGGAAGAAGGGCAAGCGCGTTGATCGGATGCCTCGTGTTGGCGAGGCCGAGACGCCTGCTATGAACAACATCAACTCGCGCATGAGCAGTGGTCGATTCCGACACAACCAAGACCGGGCACCTAAGCGGGCTGATCCTCTTCGTGGTGACTACGACAAGATGAAGAAGAAGAACGATGCAGCTCGCGAACGCCAGCACGATAAGATTGGTGGAGCGGCATATGGCGGAAAGAGCGAACTTCGGTCTACGGAGGATATTCGCAAAGCGCGGAAGCAGGTGCAACAGCGTCGCGATAAGAATGCTCGGCCGGCGAAGAGACATTAATGGATTAGGAAGATGGGGGGAAAAAATTTACTGTAGAATAGATGTCTATATTGCAGAGATACCACAATTTGTGTTCGGAGATTTTACTCAGTCCGATGTCCAGAGTATGAATCCGGGATTTAGGAACCGCCCAGCTCACCACATGGGAAGAAGTTGTGTAGCCTAGACTCGATCCTACGGAGTATACGAAGATGGATTGGAAACTCAGCTAACTCAACATTGGAACTTGGCCATGCAGGCCACCACGTTTAAACTGTAGATCAACCTGGGCAGTGATCAAGGAAGATGTGATATCAGCCCAATCACGCCCTAGTGGACTCGGACCCCCCCCCCAAGTCACCGTTAGAGGATGTTCATCTGAGATACCCTGGTCTGAAGGATCGCAGAATTGCCGAGCATGGAAGCCAATTTCGGGTTAAAGCTATATAGACACTATAGAAAATATAGACATTGTCATGGGTCTTAAACGTTGAGACTAGGAGAATTCCCATAAGTCCCGAGTAATCTCCGTATTAACCGGAACTATTTAACGCTAATATTTCGGCGATTTTTGATCTGATCGGAAATTCAAATAATAAATAATAAAAAGTGTGTTCTATTACCTCCAACGGCCCACTTGACAAAATAATAGAGTCTGGCCTTTTGGTAGTTCGGCGGCTAGAGGAACACTATACCGGGAGAGGTAGGAGTTAAACTTATTAGGACATATAGTACAAATAATAGGTGAACATGATTATGATTGGCAGATGAAAAGATTCGGAAAACAACCAACCGTATAATTGTACAGACTATTTAATCCTGCATGAACGGGGTGACAGACCCCTTGCTGCTCCGCGTGCCGCATGTTCCACACCCCTTTTCCCTAGTCTTTTATCGGATCCTGCCGAGTTTATATAACATGTATGAATTATTGTTACGGCTATTATACCATTATATACTATAAGATATGTACTATGCACAGAATATATTGAGTATGCGGAGTAGTTATGTACCTACATACGTAATAATTGTCGAGCTATGGATATCCTATGAATAACATATTCCCTTCTCATGACGTGAGATCGCTCTGGAATCCTGCAGGTCTGAAGCCAGGGATGGTGATCATCAGCAATGCGCACGCGCAGAGGCAAAGGGCAATGTGATCGAATGTGATCGCCCCAGGCGGCAGAAGGCTGCAGCCACATCTCTGTTGGGGTCCCCGGAAAATAAAGTAGACACCGAAGGATTCTTTTCAAGAGAGGGATATTCTTTCTTTGAGATTTTTTGGATCATTTAAGATCCTTGAGAACTTTTTAAGACCCCTGCCCCCCTTATCTTTCTTCAGATATCACTCGAACTATTCAACTGAAAGGTCCGAGTCCAACAGCAGAGAAAAGAGAGAGAAAAGAATCCCCCCAACGGTGGGTATCACAGGAAACTGATTATTGCGAGACTCGGTATCACACCCGCAAACTATTTCCAGAAAATACCCAAAAAGAAAAAGGAGAAAAGGGGGAAAAGGGGACAATTGCTGTGCCTGCAGTTGTCCGACTCACGAACCATGAAGGTCAAAACCCTGTGAGACCTTTACATCTCTGATCTGCGGTTGACTGTAACAGTAACCCCTAGACGGAGCATAAAAGGATCGACTCGGTCATACAATGATTTGCCCCGGTGGGTCGGAGAATAAGGGAATTTATCTTTAAAAGGGTTCAAGGGTAGGAGGATTTAAAGGGCTGAAGTGTGTAAGCGGGAGATCATTGAACTGCCGGGAGATTTGTGGAGTCGAAATACTCAGATTCAAGGCTATTAATTCGCTAGAAAGTAGGCAATAGGAAAATAGAATAGAAATTAAATATAAAAGACACAAAGTCTAAGTCAAAAGAACTCCGATTGACCCTATAATTCCAAATAGAAAAAAAAGGTGAAGGTGGTGGTGACCTCCCCCGATTGCAACCCTAAGACAACCAAGAAACAATTATGAGGTTACTATCTTACTATCTTATATATTGAATCTAGATTATAATTAAATGTGTAAGATACGGAGTACATGTCCTCCCGTACTCGGAATGCACATAGTCTACGCCGAGGTCGACTATTGGCAATGGCTGCGGGCACCGACGTCGATCCGTCAATCTTCCACCTTGCTTAGTCCTGATTGGTATACACTGCCCGCCCCTCTCCGAACGGGAAAATGGAAAAAAAAGAAAGAAACAAGAAAAAAAATAAGGAAAAGAACTCTCCTTTCACTAGTGGAATCCAATCCCTTCCCTTTTTACCCGCTCTGAGGGGTGTCACTGACAGCGCTCTGGTTCATGCAAGCCACTCCCCAAAGTCCCAGATAGGAGAGGGGGAGGAGGGGGCGAAGAGAGGGGGGAACAGAGGTATTCTCTTTTTTCAGTATCTAATGTATCTAATACAGAATACTATCCAATTCAAAAAGAAAGGAGTCTTAAGGAGGGGCACCGTTAAACCCATTATTCTCCAATGATCTACCATGACGCAGATCAAGTCTATCAGTTACTAGCGCCTGCATTGACCACTACTCTTTCCTACACTTCTTCTGTGATAGTCAAGGATAGTCAAGCTCATTCTTGACTATCGAACGCCTTAAGAACATTCAAGTGGGGGTGTACTTTTTTATTTCCCTACTTTGGGCTACATCGCACCACTTTCGGTCATATAGTTCACCGTTTTCCTCCCCTTTAACAAAAATACCCTCGAGGAACGTGGGACGTGTGATCAAGAGGTAAGGCGTGGGGGGGGTGGCTTTGACATTTTACTGCACCTTGATCCTAGCTCAATGATCGACCGCCATCCTGCAATAAGTCGCCCTGGGAAGACATGCGTATGAGTAACCCTGTGCCCTGCTGTCATCTAGAATTCTCCCATCGATGCAGTCTACTTTCTGACTCCTCCAATAGTGGATCTCTCCACTATATTGATTATAAGCTTGGGTCCTCGGACGGCATTGGAAAGACCTTTGATGACCTCTTCTTTTCTATTCTACACCGCTGCGCTTTCTTTTTCTTCCTAGGCACTCCCAGATCTATTACTCAGACATGCTGCCCCAAAGTACCGCGAAATCCAGCGGTCCCTGCTTGTGAAATTGAACAAAAATCTACCTAGGAAGAAACCAAAAAAAGAGGGCGAAAAAAGAAAAAGCAAAAGCCAAAAGAAGCATTTGCCCCGTGGGCCCTTTCCCTTTCCTGCCCAACACCCGATGCAATCACTCGTGCTTCACCCCCCGAGCCTCACTATCTCCCAGTTCGGACAACCCCGATTCAACCAGGGCCCAGAGCGGCTGCCGTTGAATCGATCTTGGTCCCCCAATGCTCGAGGGTGTAGCCCCCGGGCTCCTATACCCCATCAATCTATGTCTGGGTCGCCTCCAGCAAAACCCTCGGAGCCATCCGCAGAGATCAAGCCTCGGGGATATCCTTCCTCTCCCGTAGTCACGGCTGAGCGGTCTGTTGTGCCTGCATTGGAGCTATCGCAAGTACCGGTTAATGAACCACTGCCACGGTTGGGATATAACGAACAGGGACCGGTATATGCTGGATCTCCACCACTACCAGGAGCGCCGCCATGTCCACTCCCAACACTGGATCCAACACACCCCACAGGTCGCTCACTGGCACAGAAATCAACCCGACGTACAAAAGCCCATGTGGCATCGGCTTGTGTCAATTGCAAGAAAAAGCACCTTGGATGTGACCCGGCCCGTCCATGTCGAAGATGTGTGCTTGGTGGAAAAGCGGTAAGTGTTTATAAATTCCCATGACCCGTGGAATCGCAACTAACGAGCAGGGAAAAAGTCAACCTGTGTGGATGTCACGCACAAAAAGCGAGGACGACCCCCGTTGAAAGCAGAGGATTCATCTCTCCGGTCCTATACCACACATTTGGATAACCCGACTATCCCAGCGGAGGCCCAACCAACCATGCCCCCGCGGCGGACCACTATGCATCGGGCCACCTCTTCACGAGAACTACGGCCCATGACGGATCTACAGGGATTGGGAGATGTAAGCTCAGGAGTACGGACACCACATCGGTGGTCCGCTTCGGTATTTCCTCTGACGCGGCCTATGGACCCCTCCCCTACGGTCCCGGGTGGTATGATTCGACGCCCATTCTCTTCATCTGGACCGCCATCGCATTCAGTACCAACACATCCACATGTACCTTCATCATACATGCCAATGGCAGGGTTCAATCCAGTCATAAAAGGTAACACGATGTCTGGTGGGATGGAGCGGCGATTCCCAACATACGGCATCCCATCATTACCACCACCAACATCACCTCCGCAACATCAGCCTCCACCAGTCGGTGTGCCCTTTCTACCATATACTGAAACGCCCGGCAATCCTATCCGCCCAACAGCAAATGATCCACGAGTATCGCTATCACCTCGGGACCCATATAACATCGAATCCCCAGTCCGACTCCCTCCAATCCACCAGGCCACAACCGGGCCACCACCCCCTCCCCACCATGTCCATCGCCTGAGCGACCCGTACCCAATGAATTGGACTCTCCCAGGCCGAGAAGAATCCCTTCACGACTCCCGCGCTCTACCTCTCCACAGATCTGCAGGTCCGGTCTTCAACTACTCCCTCCCCCACCAACGCTCCTCCTCCATAACAAGTGCAACCATGGACCCCATACCTCGCCACCTTGGGCCCGTGGAATTGCCATCCCCGATCCAGATGACATCCGGCCTCTCGCCTACCATGACGAGGGCTGGGCCACCCAGCACCGAAGCTGAAGGTCACGACAACAGACCCATCAAACGGCGCAAGATGGCTTTGGATGACATGGTCAACGGCTGATTCCGACACCACTGCTCTCAATCCTATCTGCAACTTGATACTGATACCGATCGGAGGCTGGAGTTCCTCCTTGTACTGTATAATCATACTCTTGAATCCCCTGTAGCAGGGTCTACGGGGACTAATCATTGCACTGTTTGCGGGTCTTTTCCGGTGCGAGCACCGAGCAAATGATTCGAAGCACAGTTTAGCTTTCATCATTTTGTTTCGTCGGCTTAATTCCATTTCAATGTCTCGTTGTTTTGTGTGTTGTTTTCAAACTGCAGGACATGAAAAAGCATATGTTCTCATTTCCCGGTGTTTTCCTTTTTTTCCCTTTTTTCCTATGTTATGCGCCAGGATATCCCATCCGCATTGTTTCCGGTTTTTTAATTGCATTTATCATATCCCATCTCACAACAGCGTTCTCGGAATTGCTGTCTCTACTCTGCTGGACAAAATAGAAGATGGGCTGGTTGAGGGTCTCTTTTGTCTGCCAACTCATTTGTCATATTTTTGTCTCTTTTGTCATATCTCGCATCTCATTTGTCTATTTTTCTATCTTCTGCGGCTGATTCCCCTTCCCGCGAGTACCCCCTACAGTTGATGCGCGATTTTTTGTCCCCAAGATATCATGGCATGGCGTTTCGCGGCGAACATGGGGGTGGTCTTGCTTTGGTTTTTGTCCTTTTTTTTTGGCTCTCTGGCGCATATGAAATGTCATTGTCAACTTGGTTTGGCTGTTTATCTTGATGCTGTGTCGGCTCGCTTGTACTTCGGAGTCGGTACGTGTGTGCGTATGTATATACACATGTAGGAACCAAATGACCATTCATCCATGTCAGTCTTGGAACCTTGGTGTAAGTAATTATTTTGTTGCTTCATAAAGCTAATTCCAGGTCAAATCACCACATAGCATGTGTAATTAGGCCGTATGATATAAGCGTATCAACCAAAAACTATGGATTAATATCACATTGGGCAGGTCCAGGCTTCGGGGCAGGGATGAATCCACCACTGACTCGGTTCTTTTTTTTACAGCGACAAAATGTGGCCTTTGTAAGCCCAATTAATACCATCACGATAAAAGAAAGAAGAAAAAAGAAAATATAAAAAAATGCACTAAGAGGGAATCGAACCCCCGGCACAACATAACTGAATAGTCACATGACTACTTGGAAGTGTTATATGTTACCACTACACCATTAGTGCTGCTTATGGAAATTCATCATTTAAACAATCTATACCCTATAGATTCCAATTTCCAAGCAAGTAACTATACATGCCTAGAGTGTGAGATATGATACTCTTTGAGAGTCTAAGCTGCCCTAAAAGTCCGGACTAGCGAATAGTAAAGGACAAACTGCAATGGGAAGCCCCAAGGTTGCGATTATTTATAGCGAAGTGTGATCGGAAACAATTATCTATTAGTGTGTTGTGGGTGACTATATATATCACTGACATTTACACTATTTTGCGAACTTTTTTGATAGAACAATATTTTAAGAGATTAAATATGGACAAAGACAAACCTCAAATACACGATAAAGGAACAAGTAATACCTAGAAAATTAGGATAACCTCCCAGAAGTATCATCGCCTGGGACGTACACGGGAAGTTTACTAGGCAAACTTGCTTGGTGAGACAGACTTTCCCCAGAGATAAAAACCTCTCCTTTTTCTTCTATCTTTTCCATTCCGTCCTCCATTCTTATTTATATAATTAAGCCCATGATAGCAATGTCACAGACGTCCCTTCCATCACTTCTTGGCACCATCAAGTCATACTAACCGTCATCTCCCCAAATGCTTCATGATGGTCCCGAAGGGTCCCCTATATAAGTCTTAAGAATGGATGACGACGCCATCCTAGAATTGAGCTGTGAGTACTCATTAGTGTGCTTATGCCAGTTACCCCGATACTAAGTTGCTGGTTCTATAGTGGCGGAGGGTGAAGTTCTACGATCACAATAATCCGGATTCTGCAATCCCGCCCCGTGGCTTAAACGATTTATCTTCAGATGGAGGCATAAATCAATAACACGAAGTACATATCTCAATGGACGCCGCACGTACGAAATTTCTCCAAGCCGGGTATCTGGCCTTCGGGATGATCAAAAGCATGTCACCGAAATTCAGGCTTTCAATCCAGGGCGGACACTGCGACGGGTTTGCTCGTCGGTATAGAACTCTATAGCACCTAAACTTGACGCTCGCATGCACGTTTGTCACCAAACGGTGCAACAAATGGTCAACCTTTCCTGACGATCTTTGAACTCCAAGGTCAAACCATGTCTGGGAATTTTCGAATGTCCCCTGATTCTCGGGGTAGCTGCTGAAGCCCTGGTCATGACTCCAGATAGAAATTCTAATTTCCTTGACAGATCCATTGATGGGGTGAGACACCAAGTATGGAGTATTTCGCTGACAGTCTTCCTCAAAAAGTGAAATCTGATCTTTCCGAGAGTCTCGCGTGACTATCCAATATTTGGCATAGTCCAGTATGCTGCGTATGATGTGACGAGGAAGGCCTTCATTTCCACAGCCTCGGAGAATGAAGTAAACTTCAAAAATATCTCTTTCTTCGAGCCGAAGAGCTTGACTCCGTTGATCTGGATTTGATGAATCCCCGAAGGAAGCGCCATTATTTTCAAGGAGTTGCATAGCTTCAGATTGTTGACACTCAAGTGCAAGGTCTAGGGGGGTCCGTTGTTCATCATCAACCACATCCAGCGAGGCCCCATGAGCAATCAGTAGCTTGATGATGTCTTGATTACCTTCCACAACTGCATCGTGAAGTGGTGTGCATCCATCCTTGGCCTGAAGATTCTTTAGTGCCCCTGCCTCTAACAAGAGGGTAGCGACCGATTCAGTGTGCCTAGAAGCCAAGTGTAGGGCAGAGCGACCATCGTTGCACGTAGCGGTAATAGAAGCATTCGCAGTCAGAAGAGTCTCCACAATTGCCGCTGCATTCGGGGCTGTCACAGAGCAGGCCTGTAGAAGGGCTGTCTGGTTCTCGTGCCCAACTGCATTCACATCTGCTCCATGTGCCAAAAGTAAGAGAATCAAAGGAGCATTTCTCCACCGTACAGCCCACTGAAGCGGTGTAATTGGATGGCCCTGATTGATAGTAGCTGCAGCACCTTTATATAGCATTTCCGAGGCTAATACCAGACAATATGGGTCCCATGGGGGACAGACTTCGAGCAAATGCGTAAACATCTTGCCACTGCCGTATGAAGGATCCGCTCCTGCCTCCAATAGAATATGACTGCTTGTATAGGGCACAGGGTGTAGCAGCCTCCAGCGAAAGTTTCCCACGCTGGCCCTCAAAGGTGTATCATCCCAACAATCCGTTGCGTCCACATCGGCTCCACGGGCTAGAAGAAGCTTCATGGTTGTATACGAGCAGCCTTGCACTGCGGCATATAGAGGCGTTTGTTGGTGAAAAGAACGGTGGTTCACATCGAACCCAGATTCGAGATATTGCTCAACTACCTCATGCATGTCGAAGAAGGCTGCCACGTGGATGCCGGGAAGGCACTCTAAGCCAACCATATATTTTTGCCACCTATTAAGGCTGAGCCGGAAAGTTTGTGGTCTTTCAAATGGCTTCAGCCAATCTTTGAAAAATCGATCTGATGGTGGAAGAAGCTCCCCGATGGCGGAAATTCCCAGCAGATCTTTCATGGACCTCTCTGCACACATGAACCCATAATTTCGACCTATTATTTGAAGCCATCGGATTGTCCATTTTGATGAGGTGCAGAATGTTTCCAGTGCTTCATAAACCTCTGAGTCAAAAGAGGATTGAATAACGTGGCCCCACCAATGTCGAGCTGCGTATTTCAGAAGCGGGTAGCGAGGAAGATAGGCGTTGAATCTCCTGGCCATTTCCCCCAAGCTGATATCGTCTGCCTCGCTATCCTCGACATCGAATGGAGGACCATCGATACCATCATAGCAGAGATATGTCAAACAAACCTTCCCTAACACGCTATGCGCATCCTCTGGCATGAAGCTAAAGATGACCGCGTTCCCATTCCGAGTTTGATCGCCCAAGAAATATTCCTTGAGGGAATAATGAACGAGTGTTACTATGCTCTCTCCGTCATTTGATTGGTGGATTGTGACCAAAGATCCACAGTGCTGAACAATTGTCTTCTGAACTCGCTCTTCTGAGATGGATGCCTTCCTAAGCCGCTGCTCCCCAGGCGTAATCATCATTGCAGCACCAACCTCTTGAAGGCTGAGAGGCCTGCTGGAAAACAGTATCCACTGCAGTATTTTCCTCGACAGAGCTCTGTTCTGGGGCGAATGGGACAGGTTTTCCAGGATACGACCGTAGAGATCGTCAAGGTCCTTTGGAAGATGCGCCATAGTATCGAGATATTCCAGCTCATCGAACCGAGGCTTTTCAAGTTCGTTGATCATAAGTGCAACCCACAGAAACATCCCCTTTGCATTGGACTGTAGCGTTGAGACAATCTTGGCCGCGATATCGTCGTCTTCAACGCCCAGCTCGGCCACTTCATTCTCGATGTAGTGGTTAATATCTGATAAAGTATCGCTCTCTGAGATCTTCAACAGGGTAAGATTATCAGGAGCCGCTTTTTGGAGTTTGAAGAAGCTGTCTTCTAGCGGCCTGCTGAATACCAAAATCCTTGCTAGCTCCGAGATGCTAGAAAGCTTACGATAAAACTCAGATTGCTCCCTAGTCTCACATTCATCAAATGCATCTATCACCAACACAGGATCAGCAGCCCCTTTCAAGAGCGTCTTTAAAACTCCCTCCAGGGCCGTTTGGCTCGCAATTTGGTGTTTGAATGTCACTTGATTCACTTCAGGTAAGCGAGAATGATCTTGGAAGAGAAGCTGCCAGCACCAGTTTCTGAGAATACTGATGACACTCCGCTTCTTTGAATCCTGTGCATCGCAATAGAAGAACGCCGTTTGCCGATTACCTCGGAGAGTTTGAATTGCTTTGGTTGCCAAACGTGTCTTCCCTGAGCCCGCAGGCCCGGTGATCCAAAGGAGTGGGTACCGCTGGTTGATCTTCGGGGCTACCATCCAGTCTTGAAACTGGTCTTTGTTTATCATCCACTGGCAGGATCCCGGAGCAAGACTCGAGAGATATCGATCATAAACATCATCAAATGCAAGCGGCCTCAACCAATTTGTCACCTCAGTGAACATTCGTGCGGTCTGAGTCGGATCTGGGGGCTTCGAAAAGTTGGTAAAGCCCTGGTGTAAATCATCCAAGCTGTTAGCCAGGCCTTTGAGGAGAGCCTTCTGACTTTGACCGTCTCGCTGAATGTCGCGAGAAATTTCGTAACTTTGGATTCCTAGGCGGATGATAATAGATTTGAGAGGAACGTCGATCTGTCTTCGAAGCTCGTCCACCTCTTTATGAATAAAAAGACCATATTGAACTTTCCGGGGAACTTTCACCAGCTCTGCCCACCAATCTTTCTTGGGACTATTCCCTAGGTGCTTCTCGAAGTTGTGATGAAGTCGTTCTTGGAACCGGTCAATTGAATCCCGAAGCGCCGTGATGTGAGATATTTCATCGCTGTCGGTTTTTACGCCTATGAGGACTTGAAGAACATTCGCAAGCTCTTTCAAGTATGAGGCGTCTTGTTGATACTGTGATTTGGCACCATCGATATCGTTGAGGGCCTGGGCCACCTGAAGCAAGAGCTTGGTAGCGGCGGCGATATCGCCCGCTGACCAACCGAAAGACATTTAACCCGGCGTATTAGGTTAATCGTGGATCAAGGACCGAAAGAAAGATATCCAGCACTTTTTTTCACGAGAATATCCGAGAGATGGTTTGAAGATACAGTGACCTGTAGATGGCGCAGCGGTCCTCTTAAACGGGGCTTGGGAATCTCACACCGGAGGTGACCCCACCTCTCTAAATGACCCGGGCAAACGCTTCACTATGCATTGTGACGCGAGATACATGCACCGGGCTCAGTCGCTCAGCCAATTAGCATTCGGACACAGCCTCAATATCAGGACCAATTGGATTTAAGCAGCCATCGCAAAGGCGAAGCAGTTATTGCGGATAAAGAAGACTTCAGGGTCATGAGCGTTTGGGAAATTGGCTCTATTTTCTTGCGGATATTGGTGGATTGTAAGGAGGCATGGTCTCAACAATTGTCAGTTGGAGCAGGGCCAGTAATATCAGTCTTGCTCCATTCTTCCAGCCTCATCTGCGAGGCGAACTTTTCAAAATTACTGCGCGATCCTCGGAAACAATTATCCAAGTGTCATTCAAGGTTACAGTGAGTTCAATAATACATATTGTTGATATTTTACTCGTGGCCTATAACCCAAGACATACAACAAGCAACCTCCAGGTATCCAATAAGGATCAAACACACGAGCAAAACAAGCAAACAAGTTTATCACATAGAGTGTTGCCAGCCAACCGACCCCCGAGGAATTGACTTTGAGTTTTTGAACTGGGGTTTTCACAGAGGTTCACCTGAATAAAATCCCTCTTTCCAAAATCGTCACTCTACATTGTAATCTCTCGATTACTGCAGAGAACTAAGCCTATTAGGCCAAGCTCTTGTTTGTGTTTTGCTAAGGCTCCTACTCTCCACTGCCATTCCTCTTCGTCACTGGCATCTGTTCACAGTTAGCACCATCTGTCCAAGCCGACGCAGATTTTTAAGGCTTTTATTGTGCGTAAATATAAGCGAGAGCCTATATAGTATAAAATGCCTACAGATTACCTTTGTTTTCAATCTATAGAGATTCCCAAGGCTTATTGTGGAAGTTTTGTGAGAGAACAAATTGAATCATAGTTGCGAGTGAAACTACAGATGACGAGAGTGAATTCAAATAAGTGGATCGATGAACGAGATAAATCTTCATTCCTTCAAAAACCCAACAAGGGAACGAACTTCGTTCTCTCCAACGATCCGTATATAAGCCATTGCGAAATACCTCCCGAATCGATCTTCAATTTCCTAGATCTCCGGCTTGCACTGGCCCGTCCGGTATCATATTCCGTGTTAGCCTTTTGTATATCGCCCAAGTCTAGATATACATCGCCCAGCTCGCAGCGAAGAGACTCCCATCGGCGAGAAAGGGACCCAATTGGATTTTGGTTGGTTTCATGTTCCTCGCACAGGTCCTTGTAGCGGCTGCTAGCGCGAATGTGATCTCCCATGCGCAAGCTATGACGTGCCAGATTCCACTTTACGCGGATTGCAAGGGCACGCGGGCTGCCTATCTCTTTCTGGATACGTTCTGCGTCGTAAAGATTCTGGGTAGCATCTTCGACGTTTCCCTGCATCAACATAGCTTCGACACCACTTACAAGTGCGGATGCAGTGCTAACTGATGAAATGCCGGATATTTTGGCATAAAGGTCGGTACAATGCTCGAAGATAGATACAGCATGATCAATGTTCTGCTTTCGCATCTGCAAGTGGCCCTTTAAGAATTGCATATCCACCAAGGGAGTCTTCTGGGGTTTAGACACTTGGGACTCGGCCGAATTTAGCCTATCGATCATGACTTCTGCCTCATCGAGCGACATGCTTTCCAGATAGAGTAGTGTCAGCCATGTCATGGTTGTACATGTTAAGGATGCTGACTCCCCAAGCCAGGTAGACTGCAGGCTGAGGGATTGCAGAAGCAGATTCCTAGCCTGTTTCTCCTCGTTGCTGTACATGGCAAGGAACGCAGCAAGAGATGTTTGGTAACCCTCTGAGATACCGCTGTACCTCTTTATGAGTTCCGGACTGTTGATAACGGATCTCCGGTGTTCAACAGACTGCAAAATTCTCTCGCGAAATATCGATCCAGGGTAAAAAGAAAGTTCCTCCCAGTCATGAGCTGTTAGGGGAGCAGCTATGATCGCTGTAGCCTGGAGCATCAATTGAAGATCAAGGTTGATCCTAGATGCTTCGTTTTGCAGAACGCGTTTCACCAGTCTATGCGATGATAGAACCATAACTCCGCTGTCACCAACTAGTTCTTCCCTGACCAGGGCAGACATGCTAAGTTGCATCACGGCGTGGAGGAAAAGCTCGGAGCTCCACTGTTTGTTGTGGACAAACAATTGATAAAACGAGGGAAGGGATTCGGCACGGGACTGAGCTACCAGAAAATGGTCTCGGAACATGAACTCCACAGGAGCGGCAATAAATGACAGTTGCAGTAGAAAATCAAGCAGACGAGAGTCTTCTCTTTTAACACCTTGGATGGCCAGGTCAAATACTGTGTCGATTGCTATGCCGTTATTCATTTGCTCTATGCTCTCAAGATCTTTCTTCTTCTTTCCCCACAATTCAAGAAGTTCCCTGATGGTGATTCCGCTCGATTCCATATAACCACGCATTTGAGATAAGGCGAGAGGTAGGTAACCTGATTCCCTAGCAAGGATCCTCGCAGCTTCCACTTCATCTAGACTCGACGAAAGAGAAGACCCAAGAAGGAATTGCACCGCATTCTTCTCTGAAAAAGGCGGTACTTGTATTTGAATTCCTCGGGAAGACCCTGGATGCCTTGTGGTTGTGACAATTACATCGCGTTGGCCACCATCCACGAGGATATTGAATGGATCAAAGTTCTGATTTGAAACCTCCCAGTCGTCAAAAACAAAAAGCCATGGCTGGATTCTGTTTTTGGCAACATCTTGGATGTATGCCAAGCTGTCTTGATAGTTGTTGAATGTCCATTGCCCTGTTGAAAGTTTATTCGCAAAGTTGAGGACGCTCTGTTTGAAGCTTGTTTCATTCACGGCAACGAACCAGATAATCACTGGATACGTTGGCCGTTCCCGATGACACAGTTCTCGTGCGATCTCTGTCTTTCCTATGCCCCCCATGCCAGTAAGGGAAAGCATGCATGGGTGTTGAGTGGAGTGGTTTATATAATGCGAGATTTGGCTGAAAATATCTTGACGGCCCACGAAGTGGATCGGCCGTTGGAATGGCACGAGAAATAAAGAAGCTTCTGTACGTGAGGCATTGAGCAGTCGCTTCGTATTATAAAAATCCAAGAAAAAACTGATATTCTGCTGGTATTGTTGGATGCGGGTCCAGTTCTTTTGAATTTTTCTCTCCCAAATCGGAATTTTGAAATATTTCCGGGCTCGTTTGAGCAGTGGAGTAGATGATGCTTTCAGGTAATCTTCGATGAGATTTTGGAGATTTTGGAGCTCTTTCTCAAACCCAGCGAGCACCGCATCCAGGCCATGAGCAGGTGAATCGAGGTGCAAAGACTTCAACTGTGTGATAACATTCGCTAGAAGATCGACCTGGGGTTTGAGCATGGCAGTGGCTTCTGTTGGTTGGCATTCCTGAATAAACCTGACACTTGCCGCACAGGTTTCGCAGATTGTTATCACAGAAGAAGTAGCACCGAGCACTGCAAGCACTTCTACGCCGGACATTTTTAGGAAGGTAGGTCTGTTCAATAGATGCTGTCGTGGCGTCGTCTTGGGAATCCCACGTGGGGTTTGCCTGGAGACCCTCGGCAATTCAACAGATGGCGACCGAGAGATGCTTGGGCTAGGAGATCGAGGAAGGGGCATAGAGTTCACGAATGTGAAAGAGTTGCGTTAAAATACAGTATTACACGTCAGCAAGTCTTTTTGAAAACAGGGGGTCTGTTCTTAGAAGACGACTTAGCTAATTCTAGAATAACAAACCCCGGACTGGCGCATACGAGCGATTAGTCCTAAAAGCCAATAGGCCCAAAATACCAAGTGGTCGCTATGCGATATACTCTTTAGTAGTAGTAGCAGTAGTCTATCTAGATCTATACAGTCAGAATGACCAATTTTGACTACTTTAAAATCGCAGCTCCTCTAAATACTCAAAAGAAAACAGTTTCATATCTTCCGCCCTCTACACATCCGCACAACAGTATAGCCGAGGCCAACAACCGTCACCAGAGTAGAAAACAAGAACGGGCGAGTCAGTCGTGCTGACTTATGAGATATGCCCCGTCATTGAGAATTTCGGTATCCCAAGGCCTCCTTGTACCTCCCACTTGCCATTCCGCGTGGAGACGCCATTGACAGCCGCTAAGGGAAGCCGATAAATCGAGATTCCGAGATGCTGCATGGTGCCTCTCATCTTCGGCCCTCGCGCTAGGCTTTCTGATTTCTTCGGGATATTTTCCACTGAGCAAGTCGGGCGGCTCGGAAATGCGCCAAAGCGCGTCCGATGAATCTCCGGAGAATGTAAAGCACCTCCACCACTTGACCCCCTTAGATTTAATTGTAAATAAGGTAATCTGCGGGAATTCCTGCTTGGGATCCCGGGTTTCTGCTGTTGAATATTAATGCTATTGAATTATGCACAATTCTTTATGCGTTATATTTCACCCTGACAAGGAAAAAGAGCGTGGCCTCGGCGATTTATCGCAATAAACTTCCATTGTACGATCTCCACAAACCGGGGGACCCGGGAAACGCCATGTACGCCATGGCCCACTTTTCATCCTCCGGAAAGTCTATCCTTATGTTACCCCGCCATGCCGTATTGTATAAATAACCCCCAGCTCTTGGATCTCCTCTACCCACGAGCCTTCTTCAGCGCTCGGTTCTGGCACCATGAAGCGCTTTTTGTCCCTGCCCCTACTCGGAAGCACTGCCGTCGGTGCAGCAGTTGGTGATACAGTAAGTCGCCTTTTACAATTGCGCGACCTGTAAGCATATACTAATCTACTAAACCGCAGTCTCTTCATACACGCTCCGCTTCCCCGTCATGTCCCAATCAGCCCTCGACTCTGTCCCTCGCTGACCCACCTTACGCAAACTACTTTTACTCCGACTGCAATATTGCTGCGCAGGCCGTCATCACCAGCCCCCTCCCCGATAGCGATCTCTCGCTCATCAGCCCGCGCCTGATCATTGCCTGGCCTGCCGGCAACAGTGGCATATGTACCTACTTCGCGCCGCAGAATGGCGAGAATGGCACCCTGTCCATTGAACTTGTCAATTCGACAGCGGGAAATCCGCTTGGCCCCGTGCACAACGAATCCACTTCCTCACATAGACCCCCTAGTGTCGGCGTGCAAGGTCTCCTGCGCTTCAATTCCTCCGCCTCGCTGGTAATACCGATCCTCGGTAGTATCCGCACGATCCGCGATTTCGTCGAAGGTCCCAGCATTCTTTACCCGGAGATTCAGGATGCTGTTAAGTACACTTCGAACAGCGACGGCAGCGTCGTGCTGCAGCGCACATGGCTGGACAACATGACCTCAACGATTCTGCAATTCCGGCCCAGCTCGAGTGGCAGCAAGGTGACCGTGTCTACCACAGTGGACTTCACCGCAGGCGACTATATGTTCTCTGCCCAGATGAACTACCCCCAGTTGTCGCAGCTTAAATCTAATGCTGTGCTGAACTCGGATTCTCAGGGCCTGAATACCACCATGCCTGACCAGACTGCTGCGCTGTCATTCTTGTCATATTCGGATAAGCTGCTGGCAGGTGCTTGGCGCTTTTTGACATATTTCGGCCGTGACTCGATGATTTCAGCTCTCCTGCTTGAACCGGTGTTGAGCAACGGCAATTCTAGTGCCATGGAGGCTGTGGTCGGTGCTGTTTTGGAACGCGTTAACCGGACAGATGGCAGTGTTTGTCATGAGGAAACTATTGGGTGAGTACTAACCAGAGTTGTAACTCCATACAGTTATCGGGCTTGACTTGATGGCTTGGGTGATGCATTCGCTTCATTCTTGGGGAGGTCATGCTCATACTCGATAGTGACTACGCCACCTGGACCAACCTGCAGCAGAACATTTCCAGCAACGCCATGGTCTGCGATTATAAGATGGTTAGAATGAATCCCAACCGTCACACTTACGAGGTCTTGGCTGACTACATGCACGACAGGTCGACTCTGACTACTATCTTCCGGTATTGATGCAGCGCTACTTCCTGGAGAACCCAGTAGGACAAAGCCGTGCTGCCGCTTTCTTCAAGTATGTCTACCTCGAACGGATTTCAATGCAATATTTAACCTAGGGACCAGCACCTCGGCCGGCACTATCAATGCGGCAAACCAGAACTTGACCTGGGGTGATTTGGCACTGATCAACGCGGAGCGGATCATGCGTCTTGCAGGTCCTTTTGCTCGTGAGCAGACCAAGGACAACCTCGTCCACCTCAAGGATGGGCAAGTCGTGGGCCAGTGGCGTGATAGCACCTACGGTAAACCTACCCCAATCCAAGCAATGCAAGATTATCCTCACTGACATTTCAAAGGTATCGGCGGAGGCCGCATCCCCTACGACGTCAATACCGCCCTCATGCCCGCAGCCCTCCGCTCCATCGCCACCCTCGCTCGCAAGGGCATTTTACCTAAGGAGCAGCACTGGGGACAACAAGCTGACAACTTTGCCCAGATCTGGGAAGATAAGACCTTGTCCTTCTTCGAGGTGACGATCCCACAGTCCCAAGCCCAAAACCTTGTCAAATCCTACAAGAACGCTTCTTCCTTCGCAGGCCCCGACCAGGCCTCCAGCATCGACACAGACATTGTCTTCCACGCCCTCGCCCTGGACGGCAACAACAATCTGTCTAAGGTAGAAGTCATGAACACAGACGATTGCTTCCGCCATTTCCTCCTCAACACAACCAACGACGCGCAGCTAACTCCCTTTCTGAATAACTCCGCTTCCAACATCCGCCGCACCTTCCCAGCAGGCCTGATGACTAACGCAAGCATGATAGTTGCGAACCCAGCATTCGGGGCTAACCCCGTGTACGCACAGAACTTCACAACGGGCGCGTACCACGGCACAGTGGTGTGGTCGTGGCAGCTCGCCATGATGGCGAAAGGACTGGAACTGCAGCTGGGTCGGTGCGAGGTCTCCGCAAATTTCTCCGCTTCTGCGAAGACGGTCTCGCCAGTTCCGGCTTTCTGTACGGATTCCTCCGTCTATGATAATGTGAAGAAGGCTTATAATACGCTTTGGGATTCTATTGAGCAGAATAAGAGGCAGCTTTCTACCGAGGTTTGGTCGTGGCTTTATCGGGATGGAGAGTTTGCTGTTACTCCTCTGGGAGTTTTGCCGCCACCACCTGGTGCTGGTGGTCAGACTGGTGGGTTTTTCTATATCCTTGCATATTATGTGGTTTGTGCGTTGGATTGCGATGTGTGCTGACTCTCCCCCTGTAGAATCTGATATCCGGCAGCTGTGGTCCCTGGCCTTCTTGGCTGTATCCTGGAACGAGAACTATAAATAAGTGGAAAGCCATTTGGGGTTGTTCTGGTCCCACGAATTGTATGCACTATTGCTGAAAGTAAAAGTGAATCTGATATTCAATGTATGTAGTGTCTTTAGATTGACGATTGAATCAACTAGCGTTGGAGACAAGATCGAGTCATGATGATGGGTCATCTTCTTGTGGACTTAGACATTCATAGAAGACTGTAAAATCCTCAGAGTAATCGTGCCAAGCCCACCAACACCGGATCCGAGATTTAAGGTCAAGGATCAATCCGAAAGCATTAATCCGATAGCAGGCTGACAAATTCCCACTGCGCGTACTAGCCTGGCCTCAATGGTCCCTGTCTTGCCCTTTAAGTTTGGCTGCAGTTGACTGAAGCCATGTTTCAAGATCCAGTAGCTCGCCTTCTAGCTGTGCCAAATCGTCTAGTTCCAGGGTAAGTGATTGGTCGAGGCCTGGGTTCGTCTGAATTGTTTGGCGAAGAGCCTTGTTGAAAGAACATAGATTGCTTGAGAGGTCTAATAGTCGTGTCGGGAACAATTAACCGGACATTTGGACATCTCGGTATACGAGTCTCCCCTTCATCTGACGAAAGGTGCTGTGAGACATGACCTTGCTTTCCTTGTCCACAGTACCATCAAGCGACCGGGACTGTCCAGAAGTAGTAAAAAGAATCCGGAGTGGCCAATCGGTATTCCTGGAATGCGCAAAGAGCAAGTCCACAAACTCCTGGCACATGTCCCGTGCGCCTCCTTCAAGAAGGTTGATCCCAGAGACGATGCAGTACCGCAGGGTAGGTGTATTCTCCAACAGGTATTTAAGCAGCATTAAGCCCGTCGTCCAACGCTCCCCCGGCTGTGTGAGTCGATTGAGCATCTCCGGCTGTAGGTACACTTTGTCATCACGCGGTTGGAATTGCAGCAGCTGGAAGATCAAACTGTAAACCATCGCCATGACGCCGGCTTTGTCTTCGATGTTGTGAATCTCAGGGTTACTTCCATACCGGGGTCGTTGGCAGATGTAGGATACAAATTGAGCTCGAGCTCGGATTGCCGTCCAAATAACCCCGAGAGCGGCGAGTTGGGCGCTGGTTTGTGGGCCTGTTTCGAAGGGACTGATAATCCAGAGTTTGAGAGCATTGCCTGATGTAGCTTGTGCCCAATTCCCGAGGGTTTGGACAATGGTAGGCTCGGCGACAAGTCGTCCTGTTTGGAGAGCGAGTCTGATTCCATCACTGCCTCCCGTTTGATCAATCTGTGACTGAAGGTGTTGGCAGGCCAATTTGGCCTCGGACCTACTGAGACCCCGAGGAACATCCTCAATTTCTGCGATTTCTCTTTCGTTTACCGATGTAGGCCCTGTTTCTATTGTTTTTCCGGTATCGTGCTGAGCTTGCAGCTGCATACGTTCGAAGCGTTCTTCCCACAGACCCACTAGAAATATCCCAGGAGTATTAGCAAGGCATGTAGATGAGTCTAAGGTATAAGGAAACATTGCGTACTGCGTTCAGTCATCTGCAACATCAGGGTAGTCATTGTTCCCCCAGCCTCATTTTTCTCGTTTCGAATTTCGTTCACCCATGCAAAGAGCCTCTTTTCAAAGGAAGTAAATGACTGGTCAAGCCTATTTAGCTGCCATGCGTTCTCGACTAACGCCTGATCACGGATGAGTAGAATGGACCGTTTGATCGTTTCTGTCGTGTCCTCGTAGCCAGTCGTAAAGTTCGAGTTGAACGAGTCGAGCCATTTTGAAGGTTTTGGTTTCATATACCAGGTGGCTACCTTAATGAAGAAATGGAAATATTGCGTATAGATATCGGACAGTCGTGCTTGCATGGCCGGGTTGTCGTAGAGGTCGAGCCACTGTGTACAAACTGCGATGCTCTCTGACAGCTCCGCTATATAGCCTGATAGCTTTTCCGCAATCGTCGAGTAATTGACCGAAGCCTGTTGAATTACCAGTGAGATCAAAACATTTTTGCATGGACTGAAAGTCTCACCTGAATGACCATCGTGACAGCACCACACAAAGCAGATGTGTAAGTGGTTTGACTTGGGAAACACTGAAAAATTTGCTTATGTGCGTCAAACCTTTGGCATATCTTCACGAAGTTCGTCGCCGCCTAAAAAATATCTTTCGTTAAGCTGTTGAGACATTTGCACTCCATAGCCACGCCACCGCTGTATTTACCTTGCTGTTTGACTCTGTCCATTGGGCCTCCACCTCATTGACGATAGAAGTAACTTGATTCACTGTGAGCTCCCCTCGTTGGCGGATGTAACTAGCCAGTTTCTGTTCGGTCGCATTTCGATGCAAGAATCGCGAGAGTCCTGATTTGCTCTTTTCTGCTTCTACCTTTTCATCCAAAGACTTGAAGAATTCATCGCATTTGGATTGAAGCGTTTGACGCGCTAGTTCGAGCCCTTTAAAATAACTGGGTGTGTCAGCCTCTCTAGCTCTATTGATTCCTCAGTTCCTTTGCCCCTTCCGGCATACCTCTCTATCGGCGGTTGTCCATAATAAATGCGATCCATGCGCAATTTGTCCTGCGTATGAATCTCTATGTCCAAGTCATCTTGGTACGACTTGACCTGAGAAGCTAGATCTGAATCGGCCTTAAGTTCATTAGTGAACCGACGCACCAAGTCGGGCCGTGAGAACTCCTGTGTGGTATTCATAGTGTTTGTCTGTGCGGCAAGGAAGCAACATCAATGACAGAAAAACAGTGCCGGTTTATGCATCCGTAACCGGCTTCAAAGTCGGGTGGAAAAGCTCTAGCGACACGCTGACGCCAATCAATGTACTAGTCGATGTATATATACAAAAGTACGTCCCAGCTGAAGTGTTGTTTGACCCACTTTGGTTAGTATGACTCGTGATTCGACATCGAAAACACCACACCCCCGCTTCAGCCAAGTCCTTGTTCGCATATCAACGATGCATTTGCATTGTTAAACCAAGTTCAAAGTCAACAAGGGCTCATTGGTAGTTGCTGGACTTCTCGGGACCCGACATATTCCACGTGTCGGATCGAAATACATACATACGTATGCAGCAAGTCTCTTTAAACGACTCATTCAGGAATTGGACTAGACGTGCGGGGGTTGTTGGGCTGACGTGCATTATCTGCAATAAGCAGAACAGAACCAATCAAGTGGATTCTGCTAGTTTGGACTTGTTAAATCTGCCATAGAAATTTGCACCACAAGTTTTCGGCCCCCAAATTGCGTTTTGTGTCGTTGCCCATATAAATAGTCGAATACGAGCCGTGCCTGGAGAGTGAGGCATGGAATTGGAATTCAAAGAATTGCTGCCTCTAGAATCGTTGGAGCCTCCATCTATTTTTTTCCATCCCATTCGTCGTTCCTCGGCAGTTGTTGTGAGCTATGGAAATCCTCACGGAGCCAAGCACTCACCCCCCTGAGCTTAAGGCTCATGAGGTGCACTCTACACTGACAGACAGTTCGCTTGCTAATCTAGCGACTAGTAAGTTGAAATAAGCGCTGCAGAGTTTTACCGGCTGACTAGACAACAAGCGAGCCAAAGCGTTCCAAACACAGACATTGCACAGGAAACTTTGAGTGAGGCAGAAACGCCCGACGCAATAGAGACCCCGAATCTCAAAGATCTTCCTGAAATAAAGTCGGAGCTGTCTTTGGCTGATGGGAGTGGTACAGATAATACCTGTTGCAGCAACACTGAAGTCGACGGAAGCGTTGCCACACAAATCCCAGATAGCACGAAGGACCAAGCTAGTATTGTTTTTGTTGATCCTTTTGGCACGCGTTGGACCTTTCCATACGAGGATTCTAAAACTTGGGATGTATGTTATGCGGGATTGCTTTTCTGTTTTTCTCTGCTGAATCTTTGCAGGGAACCAAGAAACTGGTCAAAGCAGTCTTTGACACATATTCCATTGAATGGCTCGCGAATTATCTCGATGAAGACGATGACTTTGGTGAAACATTTTCCATTACCAAAATCAACGATGAACGCTCAAACGTTCTGCCGAATCACTGGGAGAGTTTGGTCTCACCCGGATGGGAATTCAAGCTTGAATTCACATTCGATTTGCTCTCCTCGATTCGCAGACAGAAACGGATCGCAGAGGAAGAAGCTGCGGAAAGGGCCGAGAAAGAGGCCAAAGAAACCGACGTGGTGGTCGAAGAATTGAGTAAGGTGTCTTATGTTGCAACATATTTGGCCCCAGACAGCGATGGTGATTATCAACGCCGTAATACTAAGCGACTCAACGACAAGACGATTTTTACCAAGGTTTCCGACGTTCAAATCCCCAAATCAGTGCTCGAGGAGCATAGGGAGGTCTACTGCAGCAACAAATATGCTACTGATCCTGAAGACGACATGTTCGATACAATTAGCAGTCCAGTACTCTACATTCACTCGCCAATCCTTCTCAATGCCCTCAATGCTATTATTGATTGCCAATCACGTCCAGACAGGATCCCCCGAGTCGAATATCGTGTCGACGAAATCGAAAGTGATCTCGGACAGGGGCGGTTAGTGTACCCTTTCACTGATCTTCATTATTACCGAGAGAGATTGCTCCAGTATCGAGAGGAAGTGGGGGAAACACATGACAGCGAGTACACTACAACATGTCAAGAACATATTGACATTCTGGTTGGATATATGGATGGTCTAGCGGGGATTGGCTTGAGAAACGCCGAGCTTCTCTGGAACAACGAAGTCCCAAAGACGACTTTCACCTCTCTCTGGCTCCTGCTCAAGCCTGGGACAGACGTCTTCGTTCAGGAACAAGGGAAACTAAATGCATATGTCATCGAATCGTTTTCGGGAGGAGTGCCATGGGGTTTGCATAATGCTCGTTCGCGGCCATACCTTGTGAATGTCTGGAATCTCAACTTTGATGGCCAAGTTCTAAGCCGTTCCGTTAAAGAAGTCAGCATTTCGATCTTTGACGGCCAACGTGAGATTACCTCGCTCCCTCTATTCCCAATCAAGTTTTATGTGGACGAGGACCCACAGAATTCTCTACGTCAGCAATTGGTGGACCGAGGGAAAAGGTTTGTCAAAATGGTGAAGGCACCTACGTTCCAGGAGTACAACGGCCCAAGTAGACTGCAAGGTAACCGAACGGTGAGTTAAGCATGCGATACATATATACCCATCATTTCATTCCCAGGCGTTCTGCAAATCTCACACCCACATAGTTCAACCAAACGCGAGTCGTCGTTGACCACACTAGTCAACCATGGAGACTGGGTGAGATCGCCAGTGAAAAGCACGCCCATTTGCCGATTGCCGAAGTCTACAATGTCGAGCTGGGCCAACGAACAAGGGAGGCGAAATGTCTATGCAAAACATGCCAAGCCAACAATCTGCGCCAACATGGCACCCAACGTCGCATTTTCGACGACTACGATAATATTGATTTGAGTTCGCTTTCGACACTGACTGATCATCAATATCTACTCTGTTGGTCGCATGTGTATGCTTACGTGCTAAAAGACCGCGTCTGGGGTATGAATCAATATGCTTCTGCTTGTTGGAGCGCTGCTGATTACGGGGAATAGATGTATTGGATGTATCAAATCTGAGGGACCCAAAAATACATAAAGATATCATTGACACGCTGGTACTGAAGCCTGAAAGCAACAAGCAAATGATCAAGGCCGTTTGCGAGATATTTGGGGGAACCTACAAGCAGGCTTTCTCTTCGGACTTCATTCAGGGCAAAGGAGAAGGACAGATCTTGCTACTGCATGGTCCTCCAGGAACAGGAAAGACTCTCACAGCTGGTATTGAAAAGCCCCATGCAGAGTAAAATCTCGATATGACACGTTACTAACGATCATCGTGGTACCAGAGTCTGTGGCAGAGTATACAGGTCGACCTCTTCTCAACATCACTGCCGCTGATTTAGGCCATGAACCGGTGCCACTCGAACAAAATCTGCTTCGTTTCTTTAGAAACGCAAGACATTGGAATGCAATCGTTCTTCTTGATGAAGCGGATGTTTATCTCGAAACTCGGTCTGCCCAGGATCTTCGACGAAATAGCATTGTTTCTAGTAAGTTTACGTGGTGCACTAGTACAGATAGAGGCTAAGCAAGATTTACCTGCACTAGTTTTCCTGCGAGCCCTAGACTACTTCCAGGGTATTCTTTTCCTGACGACGAATCGCGTGGGAAGTTTCGATGAAGCCGTCATGTCACGAATTCACGTGCAGATCGGATATGACCCACTCGATGAGGACTCGAGAAAGCAAATTTGGGACGGTTACTTCAAGAAGCTCTCCAAAAATCATAACAATGATGGGCAGGAGATCCGTTGCTCATATGATGCCAAAGAATTCGTTCGCAAGTCGGACGATCTCCGGGCCCTCAGATGGAACGGTCGCGAGATACGAAACGGTAAGTTGCACGCAGCAATCTCACTACCTCATCTCGACTTGATTCTCACATTATTCAAGCATTCCAAACTGCCGTGGCTCTTGCATGCTTCCAGGCAAAGCAGGAGGGGAATTCTATTCCTGAGCTGACAGATGATCATCTTCGACAAGTCGTGAACATGTCTCATAATTTCAAGAGTTACGTGAAAGCGGTTCGCGGAAAAGAAGAAGATTATGCTTATGCGGCAGGAGTCAGAAACGATAACACAAGGTCTTCTGGGGGCAGTGATGAACGAATGAGAAGCGTGGGTATTCCTAACTTCTAATCACCCTTGGGCACTTAACCGGAGTTGATCACTTAATTAATGGAGCAAACATTTGTTTACTCAAGTCACTTATGGGTCATCCAGAAAGAGTACAGGGTGGCATTTCTGTTGAATATATATGTAGCTGTACGTAAGTATTTCCTCTGCCGGGTGGGGCTTTCCTATCTTAGCCCGCCGCTTTTCGAGGGCGCTCAGAGTCATGAAATTCAATTACCCCCATGGGACAGGTCCACGATCGGTAGCGGTGAGTAGGACCTGACAAGCTCAACTTGTACCGTTGAATGGCAGTTCACACTCAATAAGACTCTGGGAACCTTTGCGACCGCTCCAAATCTTATTGATCGTAAGGCCTGCCCTCGTTTCAATGAGGTTATACCAAGCTGTACGGGTGCGTTCTTGGGCAGACATAAGTGTCAGCATGACCATGTCGAGTGCCGTGGCTTCCCAGTAGGCAGCTGTCTCCGGTATCACATGCTCATGAATCAATAGCCTGCTATATCCGCGTTTCATGGCAGCCGTAACTTGCGCAAGAATGCTTTCACATACTTCGTCTGGCCAGTCATGCAAACAATTGTGCAAATAATAGGCTCGGGCACCTGGTAGTGTAAGTATGTAATTTTCGCCTCCAGAAGAACAGTTTGTGGTGCCATATGGGCCTTACCATTGACGGGCTGTTTCGTATGGAAGTCGTACTCCATACGGAGAATAGACGGTTCTAGATCCTGGATTTGACCTATGACCACAGGTAGATCTTGAAGGATCAGCTTCCCTGGGACCTCGGGGTGAAATTTGTGGAACAGGACTAGGTCATGACCCACGTTTCCGCCAATATCGACGAGAAACGGAGCCTCTGGATCCGTGTCAGCGCCGTCGATCAGCCTCTCTTTCACTGAGTAGAAGCTAGGAGCCATCCAAGGCAAAGAGCCAAGGGCGTAGCCGCTCATGTGGTCACTAAAGTGTGAACCATACCCCAGAGATTGTTGCCATGTAAAGGTATCCATCGTCGTTCCGTAGGCGTACATCATTGCCGTGTCTTTCGCGTCGGTGGGATTCACCCAACCTCGCTTTCGGGAGAACTCGTGGAATCTCATAGGACCGGCACTTGTACAGGAGAGCCTGGGGATGTAAGCAGCTAACCAAGAAAAAACTCAGGCTGAGAGACTGTGCATACATAGCGAGGTAGCTATTGCCAATCGCCGGAATGCTCATCGCCTTCATAAAATTCGTCAACCTGTATTCGTCCACACCAATCTCGATGAGATACCCCATGGCGCTGAGATGTCGCATGAGTCGGCCTCGTAGGGCGTCAGCTAGCCTGACCAAATGGGCTAATGTGGAACATACTCAGAAGTACATGATCAATCCCAAGCTTCTCTGCCAACTCGCCCACTTTTTGTGGCTTGTCGCCGTTTTGCGCCATGAGCTCCCACAAACCCGAGTCCACCCCAAAGTTCAGGCCAGCCATTGCACCCGTCTGTCTGCCAGTTAATCTCGTTGGGTTTACAAGGCACTAACGGCGGAGTACTTGCATGTGCCCAACAGTGATAGATCATGGTCTCCCGGGGAGTTTCTAGAGCTTGAACCAAGGTGCGACATCTGGCAAGCAAGTCTTCTCGTCCTACATTGCTGGTAGTAAAGGCATCGAAGGCTTGTGTTATCTCCTTTAGCAGCGTGGGAATCGCTTCGATGTCATTCGGCTCGGTAGCGATGGAGACATCGACATGGGATTGGCCTTGCTCTGTTCGTTGGGCTGGCATATTGCTTACAACCAAGCATGGAGACCTGGGCGAACTGGGAAGCAATGTGATATACAGACCTTGTGTGTACTGCTGCAGATGTAGATGATTATCTTGCAGGGAGGCCCAGGTGTACTTGTCAAGGGCAAATATACCCGATAGTGGCTGGAATCCAGACTCTTCCCCCCAGTTGAAGCACTTTAGGACACCGCTTTGATGGATTGCTAATATCTGATTTACATCCCGATCGACGTTTTTGCTCACGTTAACACAATCATGAATATTCGATCATGCATATGATCACGCTCCAAGACAAAGCCCTGTGTTGATGATTCGACTATTTTGGACAGGTCATGCATGACTCATGCAAGAGGGGATTTTAGCTCTGTCCCCTGCCCCTCAGGAGTAGACATTAGGTCATGTGGTTACACAAAGGAGGAGATTAGTTCCCTGCAGCTTCTACCTTTGGCTCAAAGTCAAAATTGGATCGGGCATGCATCGTCACCGATTAGGAATAGCGTTGAACGCTATCGGGCGATGAATATCTGAGTTGTACAATCTTCATGCAGTATGCAGCTACGACTGAACCTGAATATCAACCATAAGTTGAGGAAGGTTTGTGGGTCGACGAGATGCCACAAAGTTTGATGTGATCATTTGGTCGGCTGGTGGACCACAGCCACTGTAAAAGTCGGTGAAGGACTTTGGAATATCACCCACTGCATCCAAATTGCCTGGCCGGGTCTTCCAAGGTTTTGGTCATGCGAAGCCGAGTCAGAATTGCCACAAGAATTAGGTCTAGAACCGGTTTCTTTGGAAATCCTGTTATATTTGGGAGTTATTATGTGCGGGAAGATTGTTCCAGAGGAGGAATCTGGGCTTCCTTGCATGGATTAACCTGTTGATTGTGAGCGCTTGGGCTTGTTTGTGTTGTAGTCATGTGACAAATCCCGTTAGCTTCCATGGTTTATCCACCTCTCAATCTAGCGTTGCCATTTCTCCACCCCATGCAATTCATGCCAAATTTCAGCGTTCTTCGCGCCAGATTTGCAACATCAAGCATGAGTCCTTGCGCTTGTCCGATGCTCGCACAATCAGGCTTACTGTTTCCTCATTGACATCCCTCCCAATTCTACCTCGGAAGGTTCTAGGCTAATGCAGTCTGCACTGCAGGAAAATTGGGTTTATGCCTTCTAACAAGGTTGAGACCATTTAGTGGTAGCCTCGAGCAGCCGATGATATTGATTGAAAGTATCCAAATATAGTTCCGACGATTTTTTTAAGGCCTCGTGAATGAGGTGCTTTGTGATTTTGGTGCAGTTACGCTTTGACGACCCTACCACGGTTACTATTCCCGCGCAGAACTGGCTCGCAGATCTAAGAGCCATGGAAAACATAGACTGAAGAAAAATTACTACGAAAGTATAGCCAAGTAGTGGGGGCTGCAATTACAGATAGACGAGAAAGCAATCACATCCCCATCTCACTGGTAAGGATTAAGAATTCCCATGCTGACTCAAGTTACTCGTGCAGACAGTTGAAGGGATTGGATCAAGTCAGTGGTGTCGGCCCTCGGTATTTATCGATTAGGTAGTCTAGATAAGGCCATCTCAATAATACTTAATCCGCGATAGTTTCTTCTTCCTCAACTGTCCGCACCCAGGAACTCACAGATATAATGATGTTGCACAGGCATTTTCACCTAGCATCAACCCAACAACGGCATGTCCTGAGAAAAGGCCTTCCAGCCAAGGACAAATTGCCCAAGTTGCCTTCGGGTAGTCGTCTCTTCATGCGTTCGATTTCATCTCCTGGCTGGAGGCAGTTGGACATCGCTGTTGTCGGCGGCGGGATAGGAGGAATGTCCGCGGCGACCGCTCTGCGCCGTGCCGGCCACAAGGTGTCTATCTACGAGCGTGCTGATTTTATCGGTCTGGCCGGTGCTTCTATTTCGTGTGCCGCAAACGGTACGCGCTGGTTGCACGAATGGGGTGTAGACGTCGCTAAAGGCGATGGTGTCATTTTACAAAAGCTCATCAGCCGCGATTGGACGACGGGAAAGATCCTGACTGAGTACGAGCTGGATGACTATGAAGAACGATGGGGATATGTGTACTACATGTTTCAGCGGCAGTGTATGCACACAATGTTGAAGATTTCAGCATTGGGGGAGGGAGAGGGCGTGCCGGCAAAACTCTTCTTGAATCACAAGGTAATATGTCAAGTCACTATGAGAATCTACTTGCCCCAGTCCCTTCCGCAGCGGATCTAATATTCCCTATCAGTGCAAGGACATAGATCTCAACACTGGTTTGATTGAGTTTGAGAATGGATGGTCGGTCAACCATGATCTCATTGTCGGCGCGGATGGCATTGGATCTGCCGTGCGTGGTGTTCTCGGTATCTGGCCTGAGAAGCGACCTGCCGAGTCTAGCTGCCTGCATGCAAACGTTGTTACTGAAGAGGCGATCGCCGCTGGTCTTCCTGACTTCTCTCATGATAATGCCCTGCAGTTCTGGGGTGGTCATGGGGAGATCTGGGACAAGATCGTTCTCTCTCCATGCCGAGGGGGCAAGCTGCTGTCATATTATTGCTTTTTCCCGAGGGAGAAAGGAGACTACATGGATCATCGCTGGGGGGAACCTGACCGACCAGTGGAAGAATTGCTTGCACCGTATCCTCAACTCGATGCGCAAGTCCGCGGGCATTTGGCCCTTGGGAAGGAAATCCAGCCATGGCGTTTATGGATGCAGTAAGTTGAGCCCACCAGATAAATTGGCAATGAATTAATAAGCCCTATTCTCCACAGCGACCCGTATCCATATATTGCAAGAAACATGGTCTGTCTGCTAGGTGATGCAGCTCACCCAGTACGTCACACTGCTACATCACTCGGGGTCAAACATTGAAACTAACAAACATTCAGATGATGCCTCACCAAAGCCAAGCCGCCTGTATGGCAATCGAAGACGCAGCCGCCTTAGGCATTCTTTTTAGCAAGAGAATTTTCACAGGAGATATATTCGAGTCTCTATCTACTTATGAGTCGGTTCGTCTGCCCAGAGCAACCAAAGTTCAGGCAGCAGCGGCACGAGCCTCGCAGAATATCAACGAGCGAATTGGTGAGTTTCAAGTACTTAATGTTCTTCTGATGTATTCACACTAACGTCTTCGCAGGGTTCTCTAGCAATATTGACAATCCAGTTTACGTAGTGAAGAGCGAGCAGGGGAAATTGACAATCGAAGAGATGAATGCGTGAGTCT